CACCTCCCCCCCCCCCCCCCAGCGTTGAGTTCGAGCAGCGCTCAGTCCTGGTGACTGGTACGTTATGAGGCGCCTTCGGATGCAAATCGCAACCAAGTATCGCGGCTGCAAGTTGGTTTTCCGCGGCAGTCAAACAGCTCCGACGTGGATGTCAAACCGTGGAACTGGGTTATTTCTATGCAGAGCGCCAGAGTTTGTACTGTGGCTACATGCCCAGCATCTCATTTCGACAGGGTAGCGGTGTCCTGTCTGGTTTCTAGACTTTTCTGAAGGAGAAGGTATCGTCCATGACCGACAGGTCTTCATTTGTCACAACGGACGAGGTCACTTCCAGGCCTCGAATATGTGCGAAATCTGACGGCGTGTCAACCCTGCTCGAGTCGAGCGTCACGTCACCGACGTGGGCGTCTTGCCACGGGGCTGGGTGCTGATCCGAGTCCCCAAGACTGGCCAAGCACGGTGTGCGTAGAGTCGCTGCAGAGTACGACTGGCGGTTCGCCCGGCCAGGCGACCCATGCTACCCGGGGCTTGCCAACGGACTTCGAGGTGGAGGGAAGTCGAGATGCAAAGTCCACGGCCCGGGGACCATCCGATAACGGATCCCAGGTGAAGAGTAAGCCACCATAGCCTTCCCCCTCGCAACTCACAACGAGGAGCTCGCGGATGTTGGGATGCCAGGAAAAGGTCGACACATCTCCGTGGAAGATGAGAACGGCTCGCAGCTCTGACGAGGATAGATCCCAGATCCAGAGAGTGCTGGGAGAGTCTTCCATCTTCGTGGCAGCAAGAACCGCGGATGAATCGAAAGAGACGGCTGCACAGCCAGTCTTGGCCTCTTGGCTGCTGCCGCTGGTGCTGTTGACTGCGCGAGTGGGGGCGGTTACGGTTTGCGTGGCTCTGACGAAGGAGTGGGCGGGAAGACCCATCTCGCTAAAGGTGATTTGTTCCTGCCATATCTGGTGTACCTGTCAGTGAGATGCACATGATCCGCCCCCCTTCTCCGGCCGACAACGCAGCACACCAGACGGGGCGTTGGGCCACTGACTGACCTGTACAGTGTCCTTGGGCACGATGAGGGTTGGGTGTTGAAGTCTCAGGGCGTCCGTCACGGCTGCGAGGTTGAGGATGTAGACGTTGCGCGTATAGTCGCAGATGGCAGCCCGACTGGCGTCGGAGCTGAGGTGGCAAAGTTTGACACCTGCACCAAGCTCGTGATCCTTGACGTCGCTGGTGAAACCCGAGGGTCCAGACCATTCCTTGAAGAGATGGCCATCGGGCGTGTAGAACAGGACTTTGTGCTGTTGGGAGGGCGACTCCCAGAGCACAAGCCACCGACCATCAGGCGACCACTGCAGGCTCTGTGCATCGACGGTTTCGGGGCTCCATGATCGCTCAACTTCCCGGGAGACAGGGTTGTGGATGCTGATGACATCCTTGCCGGCGACCCTGGTCAGCAAGGCAAAATGCGAAGTCACGGGATGGAAGGAGAAGCCTCGTGGGGCGGATGAGGCGTGGTGGAACTTGGGGTTGTTGATCTCGATGGATCTGGAAGCGGCCAGATCGAAGATGGTGAATTTGAGACCAAACTGGGTGGACACGCAGACCTCAGAGTCAGTGGCGCCGAACTGAATCAGTGTTGGTCGTGATGTGGCCGACGCGGGGACGCGCAGGGTGGCATGGAACCCTTCCCGGACGGCAGAGAAGACATGGATCTGCTCAGCCAGAGCCACCAGAAGCTTGGTGGATGACGGTGACCACTGGAAAGCAACGACGGGCCCTGCGATGTCGGACGGAAGGGTGATGGTGTTGATTGTCTCGAGGCTCTGGACCGACCGGACATTAATCTTGGAAGAGAGCAGCGTCGCGATAAGCGTCCCGTCGGGACTCGCGATACAATGCGGGGATGCTATGAAGTGGTTTAGTGCCGTGTGTGTCATGTTTGCGAGCCTGGTGGCAGCTGCTGCATGTTGCACCTACATTTGAAGGCGCGTGTGAAATGCATTGTGATGTGGTTCGCAGGCGCCAACACGAGAGCGAGATACGAATAGGAGATACAGAGAGATAATCCAGATGGAAAGGACGAGATTGTCGATCAAGACTATTTGGAAGAGATGTACGGTCTCTGATGCCGGCTGGCTGAGGCATGGATATGGTTCAACATTGATTTGGTAGGGAAAGAGACACCCGAATGCTCACTGCTTGTCGAGAGACTGAAACCAAATATTGACCGATTGCCGTTTTGAGCTTAGCGCGGGGTAGTTTGCCCCTCATCGACCTGGTACCTACAGGTACATTGTACCTCACCGACTCACCGAACCCCCCCGCCAAAGACGCACCAAGCCCCTCCGGAAAGCGGCCTTCTCCGTTCCTTCTCCGCTAGGCGTGTCACAGGAACCCGATTATTCAGCAAACCCCTCCAAGGCTGTCAGATCAGTGGACCCTGCGCCCTGCAGCGCGGAGACGTTATCGCCACAGCCATTTCTGACTCAATTCAACGACACGACATGATGATACCAGTGTGAGAATTGCATCTTTTCCACATCTCATCTATTGTTTGGCTTCCTCTCTTTTCTGTGTGTTTGTTGTGCTTTTCCATAAACCCATCGACCAGCGACGCAGCCGCCTGACCATCCGGGCGCCCCGTTGCACGGATGACTTGAGCTCGGAAGGCTATCCCTTGCTCCACGGCAACTCATCTGACTCTCCTCATCCTCTTCCTCCGAATGACCACCATCATGAGGCATGCCCTTTGGAGACGGGCCTCATTCGCAGGCTGCAGAGCCTCGAGACGGCAGCCGACGCCAAGGTGTCTTACCACGGCCGCCGCCACGCCGTCAGTGACACCAGATCCCGCGCCTCATCCAGCCCTTCCCGCGAGTTCCACATCAAATCGACGTGACGCCCTTCGCGATGCCAAACCCTTTTCCGACTTTCTCACGGACAACTTTAGTCGTCAGCACGACTATCTGCGAATTTCTGTCACAGAACGCTGCAACCTCCGCTGCGTCTACTGCATGCCCGAGGAGGGCGTGCCACTCTCCCCGAGCCGCGACATTCTGACGACGCCCGAGATTGTCATGCTCTCCTCCGTCTTTGTCAACCAGGGCGTCACCAGATCCGCTCACGGCGCGAGCCCACCGTCCGCCGCGACATTGTGCCCTGATGCG